CACAAAATCATGATTTGCAAAGACATAGCGAGTATTTGCAAACGCTACCGTGGATAAAATACGGTGAAAAAGTGTGAATGTCTGACACATAAATATGTATATGCCAAGTTAATGAGTATAAATAAAAGCATCTCAAAAAGTGCCAGACATTCCCAATTGCCTGGAACTGAAGCATCGTACCGCTACCCGATTAATAGCCGGAGACGTCTGTGCCATAAGCTAGACATAACGTTTCCCTGCTTTTGTCAGTGGCATATGCGCAAACCGCGTGATGCCAAATGAAAAAAAAAAAAAAAAAAAAGCTAGACATAGGTAATATTAAAAATTGAACGCGTGAACTTTTTTCCCTTAGAATCGTAATCATCAAATCAGTGTAACGAGTACGCAGCATCTTGTCACTCATCCGACTACTTCAATCATTGTTGACTATGTACCTCAGAGGTATACACTAAACAGCAAGCAAATGTGGTATTACTATTGTATGTACTTAATGCAAGTAAGAGTATATTATACAATGGTAACTCAACATTTTTCAAAATATTTTATCTTACACCATTAAAATCGCGAGAACAAATTCTACACAACAGTATAAAGCATTAATACGACGCCTAATTAATAAAATATCCAATCGTATATAATGCATTCATGGATTCACTCACGCATTTTTTGCCTCTCTTGTAAAATTTGTGTCTTAAATTCGATCGTATATATTTTTATTCTTTTTATGTGTGTTCGCGGATAACTTCGTCCTTTATAGACCAATTTTGATGATTCTTTTTTTGTTGGAAAGGAGATATCCCAAAGGTGGTACCATGATAAGGAAAGCCGGATCTGATGATGACATCCCAGAGAAATCAAGGGCAATCCTCAAATGTTATAGTTATTAACAATGTTTTTTCAGTCTCCGGTTTGAAGTCGGTTTTTTTTTTATGTTAAATATTATGTCACATAATGCTGTTCACCTGACTTACATTACGACTTCGGTTAACATACTGTGGCTCAGAAGGTACAGTATATTAACCGAAGTTGCAGGTTAGAGTCCCCGCAGCGCGAAATGTTTCCGTTTGTTTCTATTTATGTTCAACTTCAGGCCGGAGAGAATATTAAGCTTAAAAGATGACTCGGTGGCGCGGTTGCCGAGCTATTAGCCTCAGCGCCGGGGATCGTGGGTTCGATTCCCACACGGGACGAGTACTTACGTGACCCATAGACAGTAGTTTCGGATCTGGATATTTGTTACCAAGTAGGGATGACGCCAGCAGGCGGCCGGTCGTAAAATAAAACCGTAGCCAAAACCACTTGCAACATGGTTCACGTGCAGTGACGACCCCGCCTAAGCGCGATAAGGGCAGGAGGATAATGGTGAGAGAGCATAAAGGTTCGTCTGTCGTAGTATCCGTGTAAAGGCGCGTACACACTAGCAAAGTCACTCCGTTGTCAGTTTCCTTTCGATAAAACAACCAAACGCGCGTTCGCGAACTTTCAACGCGCTCCGGATTGCGTTCACGTTCGCGGCCGCACTGGCAACACCATCGCCTTTTCCCCGTCGAGGTGTCACACGGAAAACGTCAAACGACATAACGGCGCGTTCACGTGCGAACTTTGACCGGGGCGCCGGCATGGGCGATACCCCGCCAATTTAAAATACCCGCGAGGTGACGTCACACCCACGCTTCGAGTGAGTGCCCGCGAGGTGACGTCAGAAAGAAAGAAAAAAATTTTTGCTCTAATACGCCACATATACATTTAAACCGCAAACATAAAAAAGCATAGTAAATAAAAGAGAAAAAAGAAAATTATGAAACATCACACATTTTACACACTTGTTGTGGCGTACACGGCAAACAGACCGCACACAGCTCAATGCTGCAGACGATACGAGACTACAGAGTACAGCGGTGGTTTTCAGGACCTGTGAATTGAGTGACGTACGGACGTCCACGCCGTCAACGGTGAATTGATAATAGTAAACATAGAGTGCATAAATGAGTGTCCGTAACATATTCACGAGAACGCCACACCGGGGAGGGGCCCGATTAGGCATCCTGCGCACGCCCTTGCCGGGTGCATTGTAATGCAACGGGCGGCCGAGAGACAACGATCTCGCCGGCGGCGCGCCTCGTATGCGCGGCCCTCTGACTGGCACGTTTAGCGAAATACGTATGGTAGAAGAAAACCGGCCAAGTGCGAGTCGGCCTCGCTCACTAAGAGTTCCGTACCAGTTTAATATATATAAATTATGTGTCACGTTGTTTGTCCGCGATGGACTCACCTTAACTTGCCACCTTTTTATGTGAAAGAGTGACAAACGAGCAGGCAGTTCGCCTGATGTTTAGGATAACCGACTGGCCATGGAGATTTGCAACACCCGTAGGGTTGCATATACTTTGCCTTTTATTATGCTGGGCCCCCTTTGGCGCAGGGCCCGTAGCAACTGCTACCCTTGCTGTGTTTAATCCGGCACTGACCTTTCCCAATCTCGCGAAAAAACCTCAAGACAAATAAGGAGGCAGAAAAGGTGGTTGTGTCTTTGATGAATGATGTTTGTGGAATTAAGTGTGTGTATGATTAAAATTTTCGTCAACTCCGACACCTCAGAGAGAAGAGAAACATGACATAAATAAACTTAATTGAGTTGATTGAATCAGACCTTGATAAGGCCACCAAACAACTACAACACGCGATATGGTCCCGTATTGAATCATGGGACAGCAGAATTATATTTATATACTATAACCTAAATGCAGGGGGCCCCGTTTACCGTCTAATAAAACTATTTAAATCATACCAGCCCATAATAAAAGCTACATCATAGATAATTTCCTGAATCCATAATAACGGTAATCCAAAAAAACTTAATTATCCTGAATATATATAATTTCCCAATCATACCTGAAATTAATGTAACATTAATTGGTTATCATTTTGAAATTCGCCACAACTAGGTGAATGATGTTGTAACATAAATCATTCCGGAAATTTATAGGCCAATTAATGTAAATAAAACCAGCAATTATTAGCAGTCATAAGTGGGCAGCGCTGGGAGATAAAAATTTATATCCCACAACTTTACCCATTAAGCATTGTTTGCCTGCTACACTATAAATAAATTTATATAATAGTAATATTGGTTGTTTTTCGTAAACTCATACATTATGATCATTCATTTCACATAAACTTCATAGCTTTAACTCTATTAGAGATGATTTAGTGTTCAGTAAACTAACTATATTTATTAAATGACAAACACAAATTTGTAGCCTTGTTTTAAAGAAAGATATTAGTATTAGTAAAGTAGTAGTGGTTTGTCTTACACATAGTTAGTCCAATAAACTATATATGTATCCCTTTAGAAACCTCTTCAGGTGCACAGAATATTTCACTAATGCTTCATCAAACATAAACATGGTTTAGATGCAAATGCAAAGAGAATCAACCCACAAATATTATTAGTTTATTTAAAACATTCAATAAATGTAAATAAACTTTAATGTAAAGGAAGTGTTGAAATTCAAAATTTGTCAAAATAAGTGCCGATAACACAGGTAGTGTTATAATTTATAAATTTTTTTTTTATACCCCGAAATAAATGTATGTAAATATGTTAATCTACCTTCCTTAAACCTAAAACTGTTAACAGAAATATTTTATCACATCACAATTTCTTCCTGTAATCAATAGTTTTTTATAACAAGATTTAGAGGATTTTGAAGGACAGCATCAAGTATTTTGGGATGAAAACATGTTAGCAGATAACTGTTGATCCATAATAAGAGAAACTGATATATACAGCGTGTCGTTACAACTGCGACATTAAATTAACACATATCTAAGGCTACTTGCCAATAATCATAAAAAAAAAATATAAAACGTTAAAAAAATTAAAAAAATATTATCGCGGTTGTAACAACACACTGTATAAATAGATGGAAAACTATTAAAGATGGCAAAAACTAACTATAACTAAACTAAACTATAAAAAGATGGCAAAAAATTAGTAATTTTTAATTTTTTTAGTATTAATGGCAACATTATGTATTCCAGTTAAGTAAATAAATATTTCTTAAACCAGACGTGACAGAATTTTTTTATTATTTTTTTCTGGAAATCCTAACTAGAAACTAGTGTAATTTAAACACTTCAAAAAAAAAGTTATACAAGCACAACTTAACAATGACATAACCTCATTTGACTTATGAAGTGGTATTTTATCTTAAGTACTTTAACATAGAAAGGTGATAACAGGATTAAAAAAACAACAGATAAAAATGTATTTCCTGTCAGTAGTAACTTGGGGGGTAAAGTAAACTTTGATTTTAAAAATATGTATATAACTAATTTTCCATTAAAATGTGTGCTTACTACTTCTATAAATTCCATTTATAAGCTATTTGACATTGATTGAATGTTCTTTAAAATCCTTAGAAAAAGCATATTCAAAATTGGGCCCTGATCAATCACAATTTAAGACAAATTCAGTCTTGTATCATATAAATGGCAACAATATCAGCTAAATACCGTATACCTAAGTTTGTACTAACTCAAGTATACATTACTGATTTAAAGCTCAATCTTCAATCCAATGTACAGGCAGAAAAAACTCAATGAAGGTTAATAACACAGAGGTCAATGGTATATTCTTATTATTGAACTTTATTGAACAATATAATATAAATCATCTTCATAGCATTTTCATGATTCTTATAAAACTAGTTGCTATTTTTCTAATTAGGTACAATTGATGATAAAAAATATTGGTTGTTGGTCAAGAAACATATTTATAAAGTATTTGATATATAGCCATAAGTTTTCATTCATAATACATGTAAAATGTACGATATGTAAGTTGAAGCGAAAGAAATAAATAAGGGTGACAATTAGGTCAGTCACCCGCTGTTTACAAATCATTCGCGCATAACGCTTACATACCATTTTGAATACAGAAGCTTAACACTACTCATATGTAATTCTAGAATATATCATAATGTTCGATTACGTACCCTCTCGCGCTTTCAAATAGACAGTGTTCGCGACAATATTCTCCAATTCCATCAGTTCCAGTGTGACGGATTTTAATGTGAACCCTCCAGGAAGCAAGTGTCCGCCGATGCGGCCTCTCTGCCGCCTTCTTCCTCAACGGAATGCCGCCCATCAATGTACTACGTGCGATCTCACAATGAATTCAACACTACCCAACATTAGCTCAGTCACTGACTTCTATAACACTCCACGCGACGGAACAGAGCCGTAACGGCAGAAACGCAAGTTCACGATCTATGATACAGGGGTGTGACTAGAAGGAAACACACACGCATTTCAGTTTTAAAGATAGGAGAGACCGATACCAATGCTCGTAGATATTGTTAGCAAGGTTAGCCGGTCAGTTTCTTTCAAATTTACGATTTGCTGAGAACACGCCCCGTGGTCGTAGCGAGTTATTGACGACGTACGACGAACGATACCTACGCTACAAACTACCACTACTACCAGACGGTACGGTAAAATTTAAGTTGCCATGATGCATATTCTAAAACTTCTCTTTTTGGGTAATACATTTTCCTGCGACACTAGTTTTCTAAATTCTTTAAGATAAATTAGCAAGAATACCTTATTCTTTATTTTTTGTCATAATTAGCTTTTTATTTTATGTTTATTGGTACAAAACTGTATGTTAATTAGGGGATGGGATTGGCTCCTGAAATACAGGATATAGTTTGGAAGTCAAGGCGCCATTAAATGTGTAGCTAAGTGTTCAATAAATTACATTTATTATTACTATTATTTATTATTTGAAACAACAACTTTGAAGAAACGACTGAGGAGAATAAATAAAAAGCCAGCCTAACAATATTGTACCAATATTCTATTTCAATAAGAACTGGCTTGATGGATCCCACCAAACTGTAAGGACTATGTAGCTTACCTTTCCACCCTCTACTTACCTTTTGTAATGTTTGGCATAATATTAAATTTTTATATAATGCTAAATATTTTCTGCCACTTCCTAGTCTGGATATGCTGATACCATAAAACTAGAATAAACGAGAATAGACCATGGCATATCTAGCTCTATATCAGTTGTTTTGTTGACTGTTAGTAAATTTAATTAAAATGTGGGTAACATTTTAATTAAAAACCAATGTGCCACATTAACGCAGCTTGTTTTAGATCGTAAAGACTTCAGGCCACAAATCTTTCCCTTCAGCCTCTTTTTCAACAACCAACTCCCACGCGCCATTTCTCTCCAAAGAAAAACCTCTCCACCTTCACAGCTATCAACCTTCGCTCCGTCACACCGGAGCCAACCGCCTCCCAAAACGTAAAAGTGCACACAGCCAAAAAATCCACAACAATCCTTATACCTCTCAAGTAAAGACCTATTTATCGGTGGATCCCTCCCTGGACCCACAAACTCCGCAACAACCTCCGTTTTCCCTTCCATTAAGACCTATTTCTCGGTGGATCCCTCCCTGGACTCACACCCTCCGCAATAACCTCCGTCTTCTCTTCACAAAGACCTATTTCTCGGTGGATCCCTCTCTGGACTCACACCCTCCGCAACAACCTCCGTCTCCTCTTCAAAAAAAAAAAAACCTATTTCTCGGTGGATCCCTCTCTGGACCAACACCCTCCGCAACAACCTCCATCTCCTCTTCACTATCTCCACTCGCATCCAAAATACCATCAAAATCTCCTTTATAGAGAATAAAGGAGATTCACAAGACAGACAACTTCTTCATCCTGATTATGAACAAAATTCACACTCCTCACATCTTCAACTGTTTCCTCACAAACTACTTCATTTGTTTCTGCACTCTCCTCAATCCCAACGTCAATTGTTTTTTTTTTTTTTTTTTCAATTGTTCCCTTTTGAATTCTTACTTTTTTCAATTATTTCTTCTTCATCACCATGCCTCCATTTTATTCATGGATAATAAACTGTTGTAATAAATCTTCACTCGTGGTCGCAGTCTGTCCGTTATTTTTCAAAATATTTTGAAAATCCGCAGCAGTTATTTTTAAAGTAATTTACTAATTTAATTTGTTTCAAGTCTTGAATGATAGTATCTTTTTCTAATAATGGTTTGATGGGCTTGTCCATCTTTGAAAATTTCTTTGCAGCTGTCACTTTTGTTCAAAAATTGGAAAATCTCCGAAAAATATAGATATTGCTGGGCCCATAACCTCTTGAATGGTGGATGTGGCTGATGGGATCATTTTCAAACCGAAAAGACACTTAAGGACTGATAGGAAAACTGTTTATTTCAACTTAAACATTTTAAACTTATTTTTAAACCAAACGTAATCATTATGAAATTTATTTAAAATACAGGAGTTATGTCAGATAGCTATACATGTTACATCTTCAAACGATTTTTACGGAATCAATCAAACATGACACAATTCAGTCTGAACAAATAAAACTAACATTCCAAATTTAATTTAAAGTAATTCAAACATATTACATAAACCAAACAGGTCAGAGTTGACATCAAAAGAGTATGTATAATCTGAGATTACCAATCAACAGTAATCCCAAAAGTATGGACGATCAAATTTCTGAAAACCTAGAAATCTCCATAAGCGCCGCACTCTACCAAGCGACAGAGCGAAACCGATGGCGACAGCTCGTTGACTAATCGAATGAGTCACGATCCTGAGCATTGAGAGTTCGACCAAGAAGAAGATGTCAAATGCCTCATGCGAAAGAATTTCTATTTCATTAATTATTCTGTACAGTCTCCAAGGAGTTGGAGTTGTTTGGTAGATTTTGGCAGGTTTAGTGCTAGTATCGGGATCGGGCAGTTTCACCATTTTTGAGATGGTCACCCCGCTGTCAAAGCCCGCGTAGTAGAGAACGAGAATGGATGTGATACGACTATCGGCGCTAAATTTTGGCATAATAACATAAGTATTAGTTTTTAATTAGTAAAACGGGTCCTGTATTATGATTTGATTCAACTAGTGAAATTTAACGACCAAAATCTATAATCATGAAGGAACAACCGTGTAATGTTTGCGGTAGCACAATCTTGAATCTAATCGATGGATTCTATTATTGTATTGAATGTGGTACACAAGACGTGAATGTACGCGAGACTATTGTAGAACAGAATTATTTGGCTGATGGAACGCTCGCACTAGTCAGAGGGAAGAAGTTTACAACAATCGTAAAAGATGGAATGCAAAGTAAGGTTAATTCACATGTGTTTTACTTTTGAATTTCTATAAGACACAGAACTATACTGTTATAGTGGAGAAAATTAGGGTAAATCACACGGTAGCTATGCCCTAATTTTCTCTGTACAGGGGACGCCTTTTTCCAGCTCAGGGGCATAAAATATAGGTCACTAGTTTAGTTACCCCTTGATTCTGCAATATCCAATTAATATTATTGCAGTCAATAACTGGTCGGAGAACATCATTTTTTAGCCATTAGCAATGAGCCCAAAATGTTTTCTTTGTTATATATTTGTTTCTATGTTTGACAAATATAATTTATGCCCTAAAAAGTTTAAAATAATGTCTAAATCTATTATAATCAAATCTTGAAAATCTAACCTATCTAAACTAACTTACTTAACTTTTAACAAAATTTGGCTAGTCACTCATATCAGTACAATTAGCTAGGATGTTGTAATTTTTATTGTAGGTTCTTACTAATATAAGAAAATGATTTGTAAAATTTAACCGTGGGAAATTAATAGTTTTGGAGATATTAATTGTAGAAATATTGATTAAAAAGATGACATGGCATTCATATGCCGCCTTATGCAAATGTCTCAATAGCTTTAGAAAATATATGGAAAACATTGTTATTACCTATAACATTTTAGGGTTGCCCTAGATTTTCCTGGGATTCCATCATTAGATCCTAACTTGGGGCAACAATTTCCAAATGGGACTTCAGGACTATAGTCTTTCAAATAAAATAAGAATTTGGAGAATCAGTCCACAAATGGGGGAGAAATGGGTGGGCAAAAACAAAGAAATAACATACAGTTGAAAATAGAGCATCCTCCTTTTATAAAAATGTATTAAGTCCACTAATTTCCATTTTAATTTGAGTTATACATAAAATCATTTAGAATTTTCACAGTATTCATTTTGTCTTTTGTATTATAGTGAGCGGTGAATGGCACAAGTGGCATGCATACAATTTTATTTTATGTGGTCTCACGGATGAACTGATCAAACTTGGAGCCAAGCCGAGTGTAAAGATGAAAGTACTTTGGATATGGGTTCGATATATTCAAAAATTTCAAGTCAAAGAGGACTTACAGTAAGTTTACTTTTTGCAGTGATACATTATGCTGATTAAAAGTATTGTGTCTTCAATTATTCTTCACGTGTGGTGTTTTTGAAGATAAAAATATTTTAAAAACTAAAGTACCTAATACTAATATATAGTTAAAATAATTAAAAATAATTTAATTTAAATAATTAATTTATTATTAATGTATTAATCAATAATAAATTATTAGTAATACTTTAATTTTTTAAAAGAATGAAAGAAAATTAGATGCTATATAATCGCGTCATCACCGTAGCACGTTTACGTTGCATTGTCGCCATCCAATACATTCAGTTACACCTTAGATGTAAAGAAGTTTTACTTCAAAAAGGTAACACCTTTTAGTGCATTTTTGACTAACACACTTATTTTATTTTACAGAGTGAAAAGTAAAAATGGAAATGACAGCCTAGGTTTCAGCAAAGTATCATTTCAAGCTGACAGTGGTAATAGTGAACCAGAAGAAGACTCGGAAGTCAAACAAAAGAAAAACAAAGCAGCAGAGAAATTCACCAAGGAAATTAAAATTGTTACTAAAGGCTTATTACTAGCCATACTGTATGTAGCACTTAATTTGGACCGAAGCAATATCCAGCTCTACCATTTATTCAGGTTCATAAAAGAGGGAAGATTGAGTTTCTTGAACTGCAACAAGTACATACCGAAAGAAATTGATACAAAGACAATACCACATTGGAAAAGCTTCTCACTGTGCCAGAGTGACTATACCTCGCACACAATCCGAGCATACGCTATGGCCTGCATCAAAACACTGAATCTTGGTCTACCATTTGTGCCAGATATGAATAAAATTATAAATAACTACATTAAAGAGCTTTGCCTACCAAAAGACTTCAAAAACCTAGTCCTATCACTTATGCTGTGCTATCCCTGCGACTATTTGGATATTGACAAGGTAACACAGAAAACTTTGCTGCGTCTCCCAGATTACGAAGGCGTTGCAATGGCATACGTCGTAGTCGCGCTCAAGATGTGCTTCGGTCTGGACGGTGAGTACGAGGAGCGCTTATCGGATGCAGTTGATAAAATCAACAACGAAGAGAACTATGTGAAATCGCACAAACTGGGGATGTTCTCCGATAGCTCCGACAGGCTGTTCTCGTTTCGCGAATGGGCGCGGTTCTTGCAGTTTAGGAAGACCATCCTGAGTCAGCATTACTTGCCTATGGCCAGACAGTTCAATCAAGAGGTGGACGATTACGTTCTGATGGAGCAATGGGAGGAGAGAGCCACGCGCCCCATCAAGCTAAGGGATGAAGTCACGATGGACATTCTGAACAAAATCCCATTGAAGGGCGACATTAATGTTATACCCAAATCGAAATTCGTCGCGTGTCTCACACCGATGGCGAACTACACGGACGCTATTCTTAACTATGTCCACGATAATGAATTGAGATTGCTACTGAGCGAAGATTTCAGCCAATATTCCTTAAAATACGCCACGGAAAGTTTGACTCTTCTTAATGACGCAACGAGAGAGAATTTAATTGTAGGTGTAAATGAAAGCAATAAAATAGTAGATAGAAAAATAGAGGAGTATTTTGATTCTAAGAAGGGTGACTTGACTATGGTGTTCGTAAGAAACTGTGAGAATAAAAATTGGCTGAAGACTAATCCTCCGAAGGCACAGCACATTACGAAGATCAGCGAAAATGAGACTTGCGAGAGCGATCATGGCTATGACTCGAACATAGAAAGTAGCCCTGTAAAGCAGAGTGATTCAGAAGTTATCGGTGAAAAGGATTTAAAACTTAAATGCGTTGAAGACGAAAATGATAAAGTCAACATATTCGATGATAGTTTTGTGGATTTACTTCCGACAGAAAAGTATGAGGAATTAGTCGAACCGCCAGAACAGTACGATTGGCTGGAAAATGTGCAAGAGGATGGTGAAATAGATTTGAGTAGTTTGAATAGAGATAAAATCATTGATGAACTAGTTTCTCTGGCCTGCAAAAGGCACAGAGTAACAATGCCGTTGGCGTACGTAGCGAGGGAGCCTAGGAAGCGTAGACGCGACTATGTTGAAAATGAAGATGGAGAGAGAGTGTACAAAAAAAAGAAACCCAGTGCGAGACGGAACGAAGTTCAAAAGAAAATCGACAACATGATAGTGGCGTATTACAACCACTTAAACAATTGCAGCATGGCGAACGTTCTTAAAAGTCTCCATGAACCGGAATTTGAAACGTTGGAAGGCATTGATTCGTGCCTTCGGCCGACTGTTCAGATTGGACCCCTATTCGACACTGGCGACTCTACTGTCGATCTGAACGAAATATCCCCGACGCTGCCTGACGACAACCTACTCGATATGCCCGCTGATAATTATGAAGTGAACACGCGAAGCGCAAAAGCCGACTCGAATTTCGATGAGAAAACGCACAACATAGAACAGCTGTACGTGAAATTGAAGCAAGACGTCGCGGTCGGTGAGCTTAGCTTCGAGAAAATAAGCGAGGATCCGGACCTCGACGAAATAATAACGAAGAAGATAGAGCAATTCAAAGTCTACGAAAACGCCGTTTGCTTCGAAACAGATAAAGGAAACGAAATCGAATACAACAGCAGCGACACGGATGGCGAAAGCGACGATCAAGAGACGGATCATAGGGAACGGGACAGAGCGAGGCAAAAGGAGAGTTTGGAACCGTTGGTGAGGGTTCCGGAAGGCACGAAAACGTTCAAATATTGGCTCAGACATTACAGCACACGTATCTTGGGAAAGAACTTGGATTTGCATCAGAAATTCGACATGGAGCTGAGAGAGAAATGTCCCGCGAGTTTTAACTTGATCATCAACGAATGCGCCGCGATTCTAGGCTGTTCGGTGTACTGCCTCTATAAGGGCTTGCAGAACTTGGAGGCAGTTATAATCGCAAAGGCCAAACAAGAGCGTAAATGCGATATGAAATAATTTATTCACTTTTGATTTATATGCATTATGAAATACTAACGCAGACGCTGATGTTTCCTCGTACTATAATAACATGAACACCTTATATGTAGTATTTCTAAACGTCTATTAGCATAGAAATAGAACCAAATTGACCATGTTATTAACGATAATAGTAATTTATTGATTGTATTAAGAATATTTTTAGTTCTGCTTTACTTAACCTCCATTTACACGTTTAAACTATCAATTAGTGAAATAGTTTCATTCAATAATAAGTAGTGTTAGTTTAATTGCATAAAGTATAATGTTCACATCTCATATCTTTAATAAGCACATTGTAAGAACATTTTGAAGGGTTGTGTCGAAGCTGTGGAGTGGATCTCTTGCATTTAGCGTTTTGCACTGCATACCTGTATATCGTTCCCTCCCATCTAGTTTCATATTTATTTATGGTTACATATATTTTATGTATATTTAAAAATGTCATCCTATTTTAAACAAGGATGTTTAAATGGTTATCCAGCAACGCATCCTATAGGTTCGTTATGTTTAGAAAGTTAAGAATATTATTAATTTGAACATGTGATGAGTAAGTACTGTGATTTTAGTTGTATGTTAAAGTCTTATAAGAATGCGTATTGTACATGTGTACATTTTGAAAATGTTTTTAATTTACGTAACTATAAAGAGTTTCTTTAAAGATTTGCTGCATTAAAATATTTACATTTTATTTTTCAAGTACTGGCAACATGACATCATATACAAATATATTAAAACCACATTGGTTGCCAAAGTGAAAGCGGACGTTGAAATTCGATGTTCGATTTTTACATTAATTTGTCTTTGGCGCACCGGATTGTCATTTGGTAATTGATCATTGAATAGAAATGTTTGAGAAAAACGTTGCAGCGGTTTTGTGTAAAACTAAGAATTATTTTTTCGTTCCCAAGCGCAATTGGACTCAAGTCGGTCATTTAATTGTTACGCCACCAAGAGTGAAATGTTCCTACAAAGTACGTATAGTGGCCTCCATAAATAAACGTAGATTGCATTTTTCCTTATTGTCAAAGCGGTTTGACTTCATATCTTTTAGATTAATAACATATACCATCCTTTTCAAATTAGTCATAGCATAAGTTTATTAGAATTAATGCTCACTTTTAAGAAATTACGAAACTATTGAACTTCACTTAGCTAGGACCAATATTATAGATTGCAATACATACTGGAGAAAAAATATAATAAAAACGGATAGTTTCTTATTTGTCTTACAGAACCAAAACGGCACTGTGAAATGTCTTCGTATATATGCATAATGAGTTTGCTAATTTGTTTGTTATTGTTTTTTCAGGAAAAGATGTTACACGCATTGTTTATGTTTACCGTATGGTTTTCGCCGATGGCATACTTTCTTACACAAATAAAAGTTTGGCGACGTACATACATTGAATAGGCCTTAAAGATTTTTCTCCCTATCAATAAAATGTATGTGTAATAGTGTTTTTTTATAATAACCTCCAAATTCTCAAATATAAATGTTAGTTTGTACCGCAATTATTTGATATAATTTTACTACAGGCTATGGAGTGTACTATGCCCTGTATTGCTCTGCGTGATGAGATAATGCAGATATCCGCAATGTTATCAAGGTAGTGATCGAGATCTGTTTACTACTATTATCAAGGATACCTGGAGTGACTCCAAATAAGGATTACGTTTTGAGCAGGCCCTTTCCTCCAAGTGTAGTCATCGGTGGTGGATTTGCCCTAAAGCCCAATAGGGCGGCCTCATATTAGGGGCGGCCAATCGTGACAAAAATTCACTGATTATAACAAGATATATAATAGGCTCTGAGAAAGGGGCGGCAATGGGCTGGGGCCTAGGGCGGCCAAGACTACAAACTACTGCCACTGGTAGTCATATTTTATAAGCCAACGGATTTGTCTTTACTAGAGGAGGACCAGTCTTCATGTCGGTTTGAAGTCAATTTCATGAGCCACTAGCCAATGTTATGAACTGGCGCCGAATCTGGCTGGAATAACTAGTGTCTGTAATTGAACATTGTATGAGGAGTTTCCACAAGGTTTGTGAGGACAGACCTCATTTTGATAATTTAATTGATTCTGCCAGTTGCGTTTATCTACTCTTTTTTACAAAACTCCGTAAAACCGATGTCGTGACGTACTTAGCGCGGCTCGCAATAAATATATTATCTAACACACATGACTGCGCATTCGATGATCCCCGATTCTCAGCCTAACCAGGATACATTTACGTGGATTTTACATCGCTTGTATCGTGTTGATATTGTTACTTAATAGCGAGACTGCATACGTTCGTTTGATCACAGCTTATTAAATAATTACGCATTGAATGGAATTTAATGACCATACAAGTCTAAAGTTTAAAGCTTTCGATATCTATCCCGCAACACGCCATCTCTCGGATCGCGCATCCCTCATAGCGTTTATTTCGTTAGTAATAAATTAATGGTTAAAGTGTTAGTATTGTAATTTAATAACGGGCATATTGTTGAAGAACTAAATATCATCGTAAATCTTAGGTTTATGTAAATGGTTTATACATATTTAAAATAAATCAATTGTTTTCGTTGTCGAGATAGTTTCGAAAGTATAAGTTCCTGTATCAATTATGGTCCCATCTGAGGTTCGAACCTCCATCAACAGGATCCTTGGATTGTGTTTCTATCTCGTCTTCACGGGTTGTATAACGGCCGCTTTCAATATTCTATCTACAGATAGATTTGGTTACTAGCGATAGTTAGTAGAATTTGCCATTAGCTAAATATGTAAATACAAATTACTTTATTAAAAAAAATGTAGATAGATATTGAAACCGGTCGTAAGTCTGTGTTGATTGACAAAAGTTTTTACTCTGAATACGGTCTGAAGATTCACGTTAACGGGCCATAAAATCCGACCAAAAAAATTAAACTTAATATTGAATAAATACTAAATGTCATTAATTCATTGTCTATAGGTATCTGTCATTTCTGTCAAACGACGAACTGTCAATTTTATAAAAAGCGTTACTTTCTTCGATGTTTATTATTGTAGTTTGAATATGATTTACTAATTCGCTAAAAATGAAAGAACCCAAACAGACACAAACACCCATTACAGATTTAGCTGAATTACGAAGTTATTTCGCTTCACATAATGTAGTTCGAGAGTATATAGCACATTCATCAAAAGTACATTCTGTTGGTTGGTCCTGTGATGGAAGACGGCTTGCTTCTGGCTCGTTTGATAAGAATGTTGTAATTTTTAACTTAGAAAGAAGCAGATTAGTAAGTAAAATGATTATATTTCTAATAGCTGGCGAATCAAAACAGAGAGTATAACCTAAAAAACTTATTTGTTTGAAAATTGGTTCCGTTATTGTAAAATACATTATTCTAAAAAATTTAAAAATTATTTTATTAAATTCCTTATCATTGCCGCAATTGTGTATCTTTCGTAAGTCTATACATAATAAAATTTCAGGTTCAAGATTCTGTTTTCCGTGGACACACTGGCTCTGTAGATCAGTTATGTTGGCACGCGTCTCATGCTGACCTCCTCAGCACGGCCAGTGGTGATAAATCAGTGAGAATTTGGGATACCAGGTCATAATTTGATAACAGTTTTATTATACAATATATCTATAATGCACAATCACTATGGGAAAGAAACTTTTATAAAGTTAAAAAAGCTAACATATTTCAAATAAATTTTTTTGGTCCCATGTTTAGTTATTACAATGATATAATCAAAAAAAAAAGAAAAAATGTTGCATTAAGCTACCACCTCACTTGTCACCTTGTCATTTAAAAAAAAAATCCTTTTATTTTGCAATATTTAGTCGTAACTGTAAATAAAAAAAATTATTGACTTTCTTAAGTTAAATTCACATATTTAAGCGGATTCTTCAATTTAAAACATATAATACCATGTGATAAAGTATTATTATTTATTAGGTCACACAAATGTGCTGCCAGTATATCAACAAAAGGGGAGAACATAAACATAGCATGGTCACCCAATGGCAGTACTATTGCTGTCGGCAATAAAGAGGATTTGGTGTCATTTATAGATACACGCACCTATAAAGTTGTGAGTATATTTACTAACACAACTATGTTATGGTATGGTGAGTTTAATAATGTAGTAACTGCAAGCCTTAAGTGACTTCATTCTCATTGTTTAAAGTGCTGTGCCCACAAACTTTGTACTAAATAATTAATTGGGTGATCAAGTAGTAATCAGTGCAAGATAAAACATACATTTTAAGTTTTATCTTAGCTGCAATGAATAGAACTAAATTTAATATTAGTTATATTAGTGACAAATATTCGTTTTAGAGCCAATTAGACACTAGCGCTGTTTCATTTCCCTCACCATCTGCCTTCAGCTGTGGCAATTTTCAAGTTTCACTTCACTTGTAAATCAGGGGGTTCATAGATAAGGACTAGGCTGGTCGCCTTGAAAGACAGAGAGAGTATACCTTGGTGCTGTTCTGATGCAGGACTAATACATTTTTGATTAAATTCAATATAACATTAATGAAGCTTAATTGTGAATTTTTTGTAGTTTAATTTTTGAAAGCTTCAGTGCTGCCCTCGTATGTTCTGGACATATATCTGAGATGTCCCAAGAAATGTTTTAATTCTTGTTACAGGTAACAGAAGAGCAATTCAATTTTGAAGTCAATGAAATATCTTGGAACAATGAATCAGATCTATTCTACTTGACAAATGGGCTGGGCTGTGTGCACATTTTAACGTAAGTTTATGCTTTCCCATGTGATGTATTGTTGAAAACACAAGAATTTGTTAGTAAGCTAATAGCACCAAGACCAGTAATAGTTATTAAATTTCACAACTAGGCAGATTTCTGATGTGAAAGATGTCCATTTATGGGTGTTGGATTAGAATGCCTAAGTGAAAATTTTTACCTGATTACAATCACCATGTATAAAACTGTAACACTGATAGATTTAAATGGTCCCCTCATTGTACCATGTCAATGGTTCAATAATAATTGAATATTAATTGATGCAGAGCAAAATTTGTGCAATTTCGGAAATAGATTTATTACTTTTCTGTATTTGTTTTGTGTTTGTGATTTCATATTCAATTCAATTCAATTAAAATATCTTTATTCAATATTAGACTTAGTTTTTGGTTGTCAAAACACTCCCACTGGTTCGGGAAAGGAAAGCCACTGACTATAAACATACACAATAAGAACAACATCAGTATTAACCCAACTTCACTCTCAATTATGCCTTGTGCAGGTATCCAGGTATGCAGCTGCAGACAGTACTGAAAGCACACCCGGGCACTTGCATCTGCATTGAACACGACCCCACTGGGCGTTACTTCGCAACTGGCTCAGCGGATGCCCTCGTCTCTTTGTGGGATGTTCAGGAACTGGCATGTCTCCGAGTCTTCTCGAGGTAAAAAGTTCCGACTTTAAAGTAGTTATTGACTTGGATGGACTTCAGGGTTGTGAAATTTTAATAATAGTTTATCAAATAATTAATATATTATGCATGAACATTTTGGTTTTGTATCTGAGTGTTACATCTATAATTACGTATTTTAGTTACATACTGAAGTAAATTTTGTAGTATGTTTTTCAGTTTCCTCATACCCAAAGTAGAAGCTTTGCTTAGTTTGGGACTAGATAGTGTTGTGTTAAAACATATCCTGAAATATTTAATAATGACTTTGAAGTTCGCCCAAACCATAGCATGGAAGGCAGTTTATAGGGTTCTGATTTATCACTCAATGCATTTAGGAACATATATGTTTGTTAACGTTAAAGTTTTGTTAACTGACTTATATAAATATGCACCCCATTGTGATTTGTAATGTTATAAAAATCAATGTTATATAATTATTGTAATCGTTTTTGCACTTATGTGTCTACTAAGTTTTTATTATGGTAATCTTTAAGATCAATTTTAAGAATGAATGACCTGTAACTTTGTTTTTTATCAGATCTAGCTTGGTAAATGTTCCTTGTTCGCAGGCTGGAGTGGCCTGTTCGTACCCTGTCGTTCAGCTTCGACGGTCGTCTACTGGCGTCGGCCAGCGAAGACCACATCATCGACATCGGGGACACCGAGACCGGTGAGGGCTAACGGACAGTCTCTTGTATTCCAAGTGTCTCCTACAAAAACCTTATCTCTGTTCAATGCCACTTCTCTTCCCTATTTCAAAATCTGTGATGCAAATGACGCGGACAAATATCGAAAGGGTGAAGATTAATTCAAACTCAAAACTCATATGAAATGGCGCAATGTTAATAGTAGCGAGTGTACAGCGGAATTTGAAACCTAAACTGATCTAGGCCCGATAATGTCTGTTTACAAGAAGGGTTGACATCAGGCGAGGCGGCTGGTCCTAAAAAACATAGCCAAAACCGGTAACAAAATGATACACATTGTGTCGACCTCACCTAGCTGGGATAAGGGCAGGAGGATGATGATGATGAGTTTATAGCTAAGATGTTATAGCTCACTGTCCGGGCGCTCGCTTTTAATTAAATGTAATCGAGAAACATGAGTTCGATCCCCGGTGCCGGCACCAATGGAATCGACGCTGCGACTGCGCTACTGGTCCATAAAAATATCAATTCGTTTGTTGTTTCCAGGCGAGAAGGTGGCCGAGGTGGCGGTGCTGGCCGCCACGTTCACGGTGGCGTGGCACCCCTCGCGCTACCTGCTGGCCTTCGCCTGCGAGGACAAGGAGCCGCCCGAGAGGAAGCGCGACGCCGGCAACCTCAAGCTGTGGGGGCTGCCCGCGCCCTGAGCCCTGGACCATTGTTGTGTCATCTCTTAAGTGTCTCACCCCTGGATCCTGACCCATCTGCACACTAATGTCTTCTGAGGGCCTTGTGTCATTTTACAATCGCTCAGCCCGCGACATGACCCCTCTGCAAACTAATAAATGCCCACTCAGATTGTTGGTCATTTCTTAATCGCATGACTCCTGGATCCTAACCCTTCTGCACACTAATAAATGTCCGCTCAGATCGATATGTCATTTTTTTTTTACCCGCCTGACCCGCAATTTGACCCATCTACACACTAATAAATGCCCACTCAGATCGTTGGTCATTTCTTAATCGCATGACTCCTGGATCGCTGACACTACACTACACTAATAAATGTCTTCTGAGGTCATTGTGACATTTCTTAATCACCTCTCGCCTCCAACTTCATTAAGCCTGTTGTTTTGTGATGAAAATACCACCCTGTCTTTGGTTACCCCGTTGGAGTAAAAGGTATGATTGTTTGTTAATCTGGGTATCCTCCACATTACCTCCCATCATAAAAAGACTTCTAACCTAATCTGAAAGTCGTAAATATTCTCCATCCATCCAACGGGATCGTTAATAAATAAACTAAGTTTCAACCAAAGATAATATAACCACTATGTGTACTACTAGTTTCAACTGAAAGCAAGACTTCCATAGAAAAAAAACACTAGTAAAGAAACTAATGTCTACTTTAAAAATTATTTAATAACCAGAATGTAAATAACCAATGACATTATGAGTATATACAAATAGGCTTTATTTTTATAACCCTATTATTCCATTCCTCACCCCTCAGATGCGTTGAACTTGCGCGACCTCTGGAGGGATAATGAACAAATCACCAAGTCTCCACTTGTAGTCTACCCGTGCGCTCCATTTGTCGGAGCTCCTCTTTGGCCCCGTCGGGACTCGAACCGCCGACCTCTACGAACACGTCCTCGAAAGCGCCGCGCACGTTGTCCGGCATGTTCTTCGCGCTGCCCGATATGTACACGTGGCCGCCATCTTGTATTATCAGCCCCCACAGCGCTCGTGCGTGTTCGGATATTTTGTGCTGCACGTATCTGGAATTCGTAGTAGAAAACAAATCTTTCAGGTTTCTCGCGTATGGAATTACTTTCCTGCACTTGTATCTGATGTATGACGAATAAAAAACTATACGGCATGTCGTTACAACCGCGACAATAAATGAACACATTTCTAACGCTACTTGCCAATAATCATAAAAAATATAAACGTTAAAAATCCATAATTAAAAAAAAATATTTTCGAACAATTTAAATGAATATTAAACAAAATTGGTAACCACCTATACAATTAAAACTGACCGAGTCAGACACTCGGAGAATTTTTTAATTCGTTGCTACAACGTCGCATTACACGTCTCCTTCTAAAAGTATGTTTCTCTTTTAAATCCATTCAACCAATTCATATGCTTTTGGACCTTTACAAATGAACTTTACGTTACAATTTTATACGTAAAGTGTTCTAAATTTAATTGTTTTGGAAAATTTACTAAATGAAAATATTGATGTTTAAAGAAAGTAAATGTATAAAAATACGTTATTGTTATGGTCACGTCAGTAGTGCAACATTGTATAAAAAAAGTGATCACGTTTTGTATGTAGATGTTCTAATGCATTCAGATATCAGGCACGGTCAAATTCCTTCTGTTACCAATATCTAAATTTATAATTATCTACATTTCATACGTAATCAAATGTTACTAGACACGGACATGGCAATAGCTGTTCATGATCTAAAAACGTACCTGGAAACCGGTTTAACTTTTTAGTGTTATATATTATTTCTACATTTAAAATAAGTCTTAGGGGCGCATGCGAACATAAAATTGCAATTGAAATTCTCTTACATTTTTCTCTCCTGGTCTCGAGAGAAGGCACAATACAGCGTTAAGTTTCCTTCTTCCACCATCTTCTCTAATTCTTCCCCGCAGTGGAAATCCTTATCTTTGTAACGGCAACCGAAGAATAAATGACAAGTTTCCTTCGAGGCCATATTTTGTGCAATTCTCTCTTGAAGGAGACTACGGAATGGCGCCAAACCTGTTCCGGGGCCAATCATGATGAGAGGAATGTTCTGGAAGAAACGGATACATTAAATGTGAACTATTTCGAGACAAATTGGCCTAAAAATCTTAACCACTATCTATAACATTTCTAGCAATGCTTGGCGCCAATCTAGTGTGCATATTTTGCATTATGCATTATTTGCACTTCAACTTTTTTAGTATGAGCAGAAAATAAAAAAGAATATGTTACTTGTTTAAATGGACAAGTGACAACCATCCCATTGGATTCCCAGATATTAATGACGAGGCTAGTAGCTGGCAGGCTTTTTTTTAGAATTTTGAAATTTGGCAAAACACGATAAACCAGTTGATAGTCCATCGTACAACTCGTCAAACCGCCAAGTACCATCGACACCACCTTGATGGTTGGCGCTCCACCACAGTGCGTTTTTCACGAAACTTTCTACCCCGCACAACTACTTTGTGGAACGAGTTGTCGCCAGCGGTATTTCCAGACCGATACGACTAAGGGACCTTCAAGAAGAGAGCCTATTCCTAACTTAAAGGCCGGCAACGCAATTGCGACTCAACCGATGTTGCAAATGTCCATGGGCTGCGGTGATCGCTTAACACCAGGTGACCCACATGCTCGTTTGCCTCCTATTCCCATTAAAAAAAAAAAAAAAGTAAAGCAGTCGAAAAACAAAATCGTGGACTGATCGACGTGTCAAACTATCAAATATCAAATCCAAAATGGCGGACTATACATTTTTGTAGAGAACTTGAGTTTTTTTTTTAATGTACCGTACATTGCCCTTACCGTAGGATAACATATTCCTACGTTGAAAGTGTTTTACGGACATAAATTTCACGTGGACAAACGTCCAGATCATACAGAAATAAATAAATAATCTGTGAGCCACACAAACACTGTCCAGTGTGGGAATCGAGCCCACGACCCCAGGCGCATATCCGCATATATCTTGACAACTACGCGACGGAGCCGTCACATTCGTGACTTTACACCGTTGGGAAATATCAAACGCGAACACGTGCGCACCTTGTCGTCGGGAAACCGGAAGGTGCCGCCTTTTATCCAGCCGTAGACTGTGTCCCCCGCGGCCAAGCTCGCCAGCCAGTTGGAGGCCAGCCCGCGGCGGGGCTCCTTCAGCAATGTGCGGTACTCCACGACGGCCACCAGCAGCTGCAGGGCGGAGCCCCCGCACCGCGTGGGCCCACTCGCGACGGAGAACGAGCGCGGCTTTATCGTGGAGAACAGCTCGAACGCGACCTCGATTGTCAGCCGCGAGGCGGACTTGTGGAAATCGTGCAACACCTGCGGTGCTTTCGTGATATATTCGTGTCTCTTTATTTATAACGATGCTAATATTTTCCGGTAACAAGTCAATCTTTTATTAGCGAAATACAAAACCGACCTCAAATATCTGGCTCTGTTCGTTTTATAATTGATTTTCACGTGTTCCCTACGTACGGAAGTAAAGATCCAATACCGATGGAAATAATATGGGACCACATGGGAGGCACCAGCTTTCAAATAAAAAGAACAATCATCAAAATCGGTTCCCTCAGTAGAAAGTTTTGAGGTAACAAACATAAACAAAATACAGTCGAATTGATAAACCTCTTCCTTTTTTGAAGTCGGTTGAAAATATTCTCTGACGATTTTTTAATGGACCGCGATGTTCAATGAACTCTTATATTATGTTCGTTGTAACATATACGAACAAATAAAATAAAAAAAATGTATATTTTGGTTTACTAATACGGTTGCAGAATTTACGGAAACCAGTAAGAAATAGATACTTTATTGTATTGAGATCCACCTCATAACGTTTGTACTCTCCACCTCATAATGTTTGCTTCAAGACAGCTAGTCTTGAAGCAAACGTGGTTATGAGGTGGCAAGTCAGCAAGTTAAATCATTTACACAAAACAGAGACATAAGATTTAATGAAAACGTAAAACAAACGTAAAATGTTTACTTTTATGGATTGTATCAAAATGGTAATTTAAATTAAAAATGTCTTTTTAGATGTGGTGAAAAAAAATGTTCGATTTACGCCGCCACATTCAATTCCAGTTCATCGCGTTTTTTCAAATGTGGATTTGAAAAAACTTTAGATTTGAAAAATTACAATGTAATTTGGAAAAAAGAATTATCGTTTAATGGAAATACTTTTAAGTCATTACAAAGCCAGTAGTAAACTAAGATCATGCAATGAAAAAGTCGAAATGGAATTAATACTATTAAAGAGGAACAAATGAAAAGTACCCACCTCTAAAATCGTCCGACGCGGTCGTCTACTGTAATTCAACCAATCCTCTTGTCCCGCTGCCGAGCTGAGCTCTGTACATTTGTCCTTTTCCAACTTATCCTGCGACACCGACGCAAGAAGAGAGAAGACGTATTGCGTCGGATAGGCTTTTAAATCCCAATACTGTTCCGCAATCTCGTACAACGTAAGCGGTTCGCATAAAAAGTCTGGCACGGGCATGTCTGTAAATAAAAAAGTATCTGCAAAGCTGCTATTTTTTTACGTGAGAAGGTAAAAGTGAGCCGGCAGTTCATCTGATGCTAAGTGATAACTGATGCCTATGGACATTTGCAACAACCTCACGCCCGGTTTCTGAAACACTGATCAACGTAGATGTCAACTAATCACCTGTCAAATGAATTTCAAATTTCATTTGAGTTGCCAAAAGGACGTTTAAACTCTTTGAATTGATCATTCTAATCATAAGGATCATTCTGGTCAATTCAGAAAGTTTAACCATCCTTTTGGTTCAGCTGATTAGTTGAAATCTACGATGATCAGTGTTTCAGAAACCGGGCGTGATCATCGTAGATGTCAACTAATCACCTGTCAAATGAATTTCAAATTTCATTTGAGTTGCCAAAAGGACGTTTAAACTCTTTGAATTGATCATTCTAATCATAAGGATCATTCTGGTCAATTCAGAAAGTTTAACCATCTGCGATGATCAGTGTTTCAGAAACCGGGCGTGATCATCGTAGATGTCAACTAATCAGCTGTCAAATGGCTTTTCAAATTTCATTTTAGTTGCCAAAAAGAGGTTAAATTCTCTGAATTGACCAGAATTATCGTAGTAGATGCGTCGTCACCTTTTAAGAAATTGGGCCCGTTACCTCACGGAATGGTCCGTGGCGCCAGTTGCCAACTTATTGTCGCCGGAGATCTAAGTTTTATCACGAGACAACTACTTGTGTGATCCAAATGATTGTTCCGGATCTGGGGTTCACGTGAAATTTGTGTATGAAAAACTTCTTCACAGCATATGATAATGTTATCCTACAATGTTCTCGATGGGAAGACTATAATAGATCTTCTAGACCGCAGTGATAGTTGGGATTTACTACCCAACCCCTTCCGCAAAAATCATATTCAGAGACGATTTTACGAAAGCAGTTATTTTTTTATGTGGGAAGGTGGCAAATGAGCCGGCAGTTCACCTAATGCTAAGTATAATAAATAACTGCCACCCATTGACATTCGCAACACCCGTACGGTAGATGTGTTGCCACCTTATTATTCAGTGGGCTCCAACCACCTCACTCACTAGACGAAACGCAGAAGTATAACACTTCCACCTTGTGCCGATCTTCTGTAAGGTCGTGGTAGTTACTCGGACGGACCTGTCCCTTCATGCAACAGCAAAAACTGTTGCGTGGCCCTACCCTAGTTATTTTATTAAATTAAGGGTCATTATAATTATGATGTTTAGAAATGATAGACAATCATTTGTGAAATCGTTTATTGCTCCTCCTGCCAACCGTCCTCGTCGCTGAGGAATCGGCGCTTCGCGGCCGTGTTCATGTAGGGGCGGAGCGCCCATTCCGTGTCTGCAGCCTCGAGGGCGTCCAGGGTGCCCAGCTTTATCTCGTACAGCTTCATTTGGAAACGGGGCCCAATCTCGGTCAGCTCAATCTCTTTGCCCGCCTGGAATGTTATTAAAAATGTGACACAAAGGTAAAGTAACAGCCTGTATATTTCCAACTGCCGGGAAAAGGTCTCCTCTGTACATAGGGTATTAGGGCATAGTCCACCACGCGACCCCACTGCGGATTAGCAGATTTCATGAAGCTATATGGGTTTTCTCATTACGTTTTCCTTTGCTGCTGAGCATGTGATAAATCTGCATTAAAAATTAACAAATTCATTGGTGGTGACACTGGGTCAAAACTCTTCACAATTCTTCAAATTCTTCACACTTTATCACACCATTATTATAAATCAGAAGAAGCATATGTTTGTTTTTTCTGAATTCCTAAGGCCTTAACCGATATGAAGGCTTTTCTACAAGCATATAACTAAACAATATAGATGAATAAACAATTACCTTTTTGTATGTGTGTTGCCTAAAGCAAATGTAGTCATCATTGTTAGCGAATGTAATTACTCGCTTCGAGTCCGGTTTGGGCACAGGGAAGAGATATTTCAGAATATTCATAGTTCTCAAGCCTGCAAAAAATTACGATCTTTACATACTTTTTATATTAAATGACATTGATGTTTAGATTTTTCAGACTTTTTTTTTATATATCCCTTTCACTATTAAAATTGTCTTTTCTTTTTTTCAAATACTATTACAGTATTAGATATAAAGCGAAAAAAAGAATTTAAAAGTACCATAATTATGTTAGGTTATTCTTAGATAAAAAATACCACATTAACACAACTTAGTTTTGAGTACAATTACAAGCTTGTTGGTAAATATCGCATCCAGCATGATGGACCTTTTTTAATTTAAAAAAAAACAAGTATTGAATAATGGCAGTGTTATAAACGAAATAGAAAAGTAACTTACCCAAGTCACTCTTAAAGTTATGGAATATGAGATGGGGAAATTGTTCACTCATAGGACCTATATCGGGTATATCATGCCGCATTACAACTCCGGAGAGTGTGAATGAAGCCGTTGGACCATATGGCAGGTGGCAGATTACCTAAAAAGTGGGAAAAGTCATTTGTCAGTTAAAACAGTACACAATTTAAACCATTTTAAAATTGGATAAATAGAGACTATGATTTCTATGTAAATAACAAATGAGAAAGAAATCACTTAGATTTCTGGGTATAAAAATCAGCCAAGTGCGAATCAGAATCTCACACACAGGGTTCCATACCTCTATAAAAATGGCAAAAAAACAATGTTGTAATAAAACTTCATACATTCTAATCTTGCTGGGATGATCTTTCACAAGATTGCCAATTATTTCAACAGTAAAATTTATAGTAAGGAAATACAGCTAGCATTTTAGGTATGTACTAGCATTTTCATGACAGTGAATAGCTATTTAAAAAAGCTTGGTTTTGAATAAACAATGGTAATTGATTTATACAATGCTGTAATTATTGTGCCCTATACGGAAACAATGTGAGTTATGTGAATGTAAAACTACTACTTTATACTTTGTGTACTACATGTTGAAATACTTGTAGCAATACTTGTCCTAAATTATAATTTGACCTGAGGTGGTTTGAGAGTATACTTCCTAGGTAGTGTGGTCTTTCGTTTAATGAACCTTTTGAATTAATATTTACACATGCGCATTTAATGTGTGACTTTATTTGTTACAAATAGATGTAACCTTACTCACCAAGCTATCTGGTACACCTCTATGTTCATGGACTACAATGAAATCAGTGACATCATTTGCTCTGCATGCATGGATCAGCTGGGTCATTTCATAACCACCACGGTTCATGCGCTGGCTGTTTGGAAATATTAACCTGTAAAATTATTGAACATGATAAGAATAAAGTCAATGATATTTAAGTTGTACAATAGTCATCTATTAAATTTTTCTATCACATTACAAAGTTTGTTATATTTTTTAAATAAATTTATTAAAAGATAAAAGAGAGCTGAACTTGAAACATTAAAAAAATTTTAGGGTTATGAAATAAATTAGACTTTATTTCTACAATTTAAAAAAAACTAAGACATTTGCTGAAGGAAATTTTTTGAAAATCTCACAATACAAAATGTTCTAACAATGAGCCTCACCTAAGTTCTTTTACGAACATCTTCAATCGAGCACTTGGTTCCCTAGATGTCGTGATCATAATCTTCGGATCCTCAACACCAGCGTATCTGTACTCATCATCTTGAGAACTTAGAGTGTTTGCACCTCCACTAAAACCTCCAATCACTGCCGCCCTTTCGGGTCCTGACACAAATTCAAAGAAACAAGTATAAGATATTACCAAAACAAATACTACTTCTCGCGTTTACATTAGAATAAAATTAATTAAAACTCTTTTAAACATGTAAACAAGCGAACAGCAAAAGCAATTATTAATAATAATGGCGTACCTTTATCTTCAAATTCAATTTTCTTCTGTAAGGCAAGAGCTTCCTTTCTCAGATCGCCGTGAATGGGAATGTTTTCTTCCAAGCTGCGTTTAAGCTGATCTTTTTTCGCTTGTATACTTTTCTGTTTATCTTCAACCGATTTCCGATACAAGTATTCGCGGCGCAAACGCGCCTGCCGTCGCAACATATTTAATTTTTAATCTTTAAGTCGGAATCATTCAATATATCACAATAAAAACATTCTATTAATTCAAAATAAAATTGACTGATATTTGTGCCGAGGGCGAAAACGCGTGTTAATCTGACATTGACAGTTAATTTTTTCATCACATCTCTACGGGTTTATAGTCAAAAGCTTTAGAGCATGCAGCCAAATTTATTGCAAAATCATAATTTTAGGTATATAAAAAGCACTTACCGTCATGATATTCTTCTACTAACAGTTTGTAATGCGGTTTAATATCAATACTGTGCGTTTCAAAAATAATGAATAAATCATTTACATCTTCCTTGGAATTCCTTGGTCTTATATTGAAAACATCACCTGGTTTGTAGTCTAATTTTGATTCATCACATGTTTTCAATGTTAATAACCTTACATCCTGAAATATATTGACAGCTATTTGTAAATTAAGGAAAATCAAAATCAAAATCAAAATCAAAATATATTTATTCAAATAGACGCTTGCGCGCTCTTATGAATCGTCAAATTTTACATCAAAGATTATGTGTATAGGTTCGTAAGGTACCACCGGTTCGGAAAGCGGTTTCTGTTGAGAAGAGACCGGCAAGAAACTCAACAGTTGCTCTTTTTCAAAAATATCAGGGTACAATATAATATACAGGTATAATAGTCTTATTCTAGCCTACGTGAGTATCAACAGTATTAACTCCACACATTGGCGTCGTCGAGATATTCCGAAATGGTATAATATGCTTTAATCATCAGTTGATTTTTAATTTTACATTTAAATTGGTCAAGCGGCAGACTTAATATCGACTGTGGGATTTTATTATACATGCGTACACTTTGCCCCATGAACGACTTATTTACTTTTTGTAGACGAAACAATGGCGTAGTAAGTTTGTCCTTATTTCTAGTGTTTATTTTATGTCTGTCACTATTCTTTAGGTAATAATTAAGGTTATGACGTATATACAAAACATTACAATAAATGTATTGAGAAGCCACAGTGAGTATATTAACCTCTTTGAAAAGATCTCTGAGTGAATTCCGGGCTCCGATATTGTAGATTGCTCGGACAGCTCTTTTTTGAAGAATAAATATAGTATTTATATCTGATGCACTACCCCACAACAAAATGCCGTACGACAAGATGCTGTGAAAATAACTAAAGTAAACAAGTCTGGCAGTGTCGATGTCTGTTAGCTGCCTAACCCTTCTAATCGCAAAAACCGCGGAGCTCAGCCTATTCGCAAGAGATGATATATGGGGACTCCACTGGAGCTTTGAATCTACTGTAATTCCCAGAAATACAGCAGACTCAACTGGATTAATGGGTACGTTATTTAATATTAAACTAAGACTTTTCCTTCTTATACTGGGAAGGGTAAAAAGAATACATCTGGTTTTTTTTGGCATTTAATACCATATTATTAATAGTAAACCAGTGGAGGATATGTGAAAGCGCATTATTCACGTCGTCATAATTTAATACGTTTCGGTCAACTTTAAAAATAAGCGATGTATCGTCAGCAAACAGTACAATATCACACAACCCACTGGCATAAAAGGGGAGATCATTAATATATACTAAAAATAATAATGGGCCCAAGATTGATCCTTGTGGGACTCCCATTTTCATCTGGGACCCAGTGGAATTAACATCATTTATAGATACTTTTTGAATTCTATTACTAAGGTAAGAGGCAATGAGATTGAGGGCGATCCCACGAATGCCATAATATTCTAGCTTTTGAAGAATAGTTTTATGGTCTACGCAGTCGAAGGCTTTTGAAAGGTCACAAAAGACACCTATTGCATCTTGTGACCTTTCCCAGGCGTTATAAATATGTTTGACAAGTGCGACGCCCGCATCTGTTGTCGATCTGCCTTTAGTGAATCCATATTGCTCATCGTGAAAGATTTTGTTCACATTAAAATGAACTAAAAGTTGATTTAATATTAGCTTTTCAAAAACTTTACTAAGAGATGGCAATATGGAAATAGGTCTATAGTTGCCTGGATCATTTTTATCACCACTTTTGTAGACAGGTATTATCTTACTAAATTTCATAAGATCTGGAAATATTCCAGAATCTATGCAGTTGTTAAAAATAGAAGCCAAATATGGTGCAATATATGGCATTATTGTGCTCATTAATTTTATGGACATACCCCATAAATCCTCTGTATTTTTAAGATTAATAGAATTCAAAACTTTTATAATATCATAAGTATCTACGTGATTAAATTTAAATGTGTGTAGGCAAGGGGTAACATTATTTCTTAAAACATTAATTGCGTCTGCGGGAGATGATTTTAATGTACGTGTGACATTAACCGCAATGTCTGAAAAATAGCTTTCGAAACTACTCGCAATTTCGTTATCTGATATTATGGGAGTATTACCTATAACTAGTTTTATAGGTTCCCTGAATATCTTGGTTCTTCCAGATATACGGGTAATGATGTCCCATGTGGCTTTAGTTCTATTGTTTGAATTTATTATGCTATTTCTTATATAAATAGATTTTGCCTGAATACAGACTTTTTTAAATATTTTTGAAAATGTTTGTACCCGTTTAAGGAAGTTAGGATCGTGATTCCACTGCCTCATACTATATAATTCATACAATGAATCCCTACTTTTGTATATACCCACTGTTGCCCAGTCACTAAATTTTAATTTTGAATTCTTAACAATTGTGCGCGATTTAAAAGTATCATTATAAGAAGATATGAGGGAGTCAACCATTGATCTATAAGAGTCATTAGGGTTATTGACTCCTATATCTTATATAATAGATTATTGGCAAGTAGCGTTAGACGTGTGTTCATTTATTGTCGCGATTGTAACGACACGCTGTATATCTAAGACTAGGACTACAAACTCTTGCCAACCTGTGTAAAAGTCAATTATTGATGAATGAAGAACTTTGATGGTGATTGACTGATGATGAATGAACATTTTTATTATTACTATTACGCATATTTTATTGGTAATAAATTGTAACGGTTTTATCTGTGGTATTCAAAATTAAAATATACCTGAAAATGATTTTCATCTGTGGTTCTCATGTTTTGCATTATTTGTAGTTGGTTAGCTTCAATATAATTATTCTTTTGACCTTTTGAGAAATAGATGTCTTCATTGATATTGTCTTCAAAATTGTTCTTTTCTTGTTTTAGCAAAGAAACCTTCCATTTCGGAATGAATGTATCACTTAAATTCTCCATTTTCATATTGGGAAAATAGTATTGAAGGTTAATAAACAGCTTATCAAGCCATGGTGACATCACTGCATCATGTCCCAAGTCATGCTGATAGTCACAAAGGCCTAAAAATTTAGATATTTATCTATTATAACCTGGGTTGTGTTAGCAGTTACCCTGATGGTAGCAAATGTTATAATTTTAAGGAGGTGTCATTCATAACAGTAAAAATATTCCAGTTCTACTTTAAACTTTTTTTAAACTGAACCCTGATTTCACTTTTAAGAGTTCGCAAGCTCATTAATCAAACATGTTCCAAAATTGAAAAATGGTAAGATATTATTATAAAATGAAGACGAATGTTGAATATAATAAAAACCAATTTATGATCATCATCACTTTCAACATCAACTTTTTATTACAATTCAGGTTAATATATAAAGTTATTTAAAGCATGCAGCCAACATAATCGATATTTAGTTTATTCATAAACACCCTTAAAGTAAAAGAAACATAAACCTCATTTATTTGATATTAATAATATTCTGTTTAATTCCTATAAAGTGTGATAAAACCTATTTAAAATATAAACTGTCTTTATATGTAAAATTTAGGTTCTGAATGTTTGTGTTCACACAGCTCAAAAACAAGGTAATGGATTGACTTGTTATTTGTTCACAAGATAGGTAGTTAACAGGAAAGTCTTTTGATATATTTTTATTTCCAAACTACAATGCAAACAAAAAAAAATTATTAAAAAAGCCACAGCAAATCATGCCTCTGGTCAGCTAGTAAGGATCCAAAAACATTAATCAAGACACACTAAATTTATTCACACATTCTTTTATTCAAATGCAAGGTCCAGTAGTAACGGAATAAAGTTTTGATATACAGATGTATAGTGCAGTGGTTTAAAAAAAAGAGGTTTTTAATGATATCAGTAGTTTGTAAATTGGTGATAAGAATTCCTCTCGTTTACATAAAAAATTAAGTTATAAATTGGCTATGTCTGTAAAGTACTCACCTATATCCAACAAAGGTATAGCTCCCAGTTGCATTAGACGTTTATGAAGCTTTTTACCAGCAAAATTGAATTTGTCATATGAGGAATCTCCCAAGCCTAGCACACCATATTTAAGCCGCGTTAATGAGTTTGTTGGTAAATTTTTCCTGAGTAGAAATTTCCAAAATTTCTTCATGTTGTCAGGTTCATCCCCTTGGCCAGTGGTTGAGCAAATGAAAATAGCAAACTCTTCATGAATAAGACAGTTAATGGGATAATCATCCATAGCCTGAACCGGACCCCGAAATCCAAGTGCCTTGGTTTTCCGCCATATCCTTTCAGCTGCCTCTTGTGCTGTGAATGTTTGGCTACCATACAGCACCAGCACTCGATTGGATCCTTTCATTTTATTGTTTTATAAATGTATTAGGAGAATCTATCTAATCTTAACAGAAATTAACCTTACTATTTTACACACTAATCAAAGAGCACTTCTTTTTGGTTTCGTTATCATGTACACTGTATATTTCTTTAATAACTAATAAGGCTATTATGTACCTAACATCACAGTCAAAATAAAATTTAATATTTGAATTTTTTTGTGATAAGTTTGACATTGACATTTCAAATCAAATGAAAATGAAAGTTTGATTTATGATAAGAAGTGTTGCCAGAATTAATAAATTTGTAAAATATATAAAACGATACGTTTTTTTATAGTGCAGACTGCGTTCTGCTCTAGGACTAAGAACTTAGCGATTTGGTCAAATTCTTTGGAAGAGATCCACAGCCGTACGATCTGTGGACTCAGAAGAACTACGTAGTTGATTCAAGACACCTTCCACTCCACTGCATTTCCACGGTTCCTGTTTACGAAAGATGGATGATTCGATTAATTGAAAAAGGTTTGAGCCTCGGCTTGGATCGCGATAGGTAGTGGAACCTATCCCGAGGAAGAAATAAGGTCAAAATTGCGATTTGATCTTGAAATATACCTACATCATATAATATTTCAAACAATCGCTTACGAAAATAAAATTATGAAAACAACGAAAATACGAATCAATTTGTTTACAAAACACATGATTTACGGAAATAATTAATTCACGTAAACCATTCTCTTCTATGTATGTTCAAATGTAAAAAGTTTCATAATTAATTACACAACAATCGTATCGAGTCAAAAACGGCCTGGTGTGTAGACAGCAAATAGAGGACCGAGTGTTCTCCGGCGAACGCGTTGTGCGTATTATATATTTTTATAAGTGAATGCGGTGTGTGCTGCGCTCAGTGCGTTGGCGCAGTGTCGTTATTGGCCCTTCTTTTGGGCCCCTATCACCACGTTCTTACGGCGACGCTTTACTACGCGTCATTGGGATTGTCTAAAACTTTTATAGGACGCGCAGTCTTGAATGCACGGAGATTCCGAGGGGATATGGAATATATACCGTTAGATTTAGAATACGAGGATTCAAGAACATGGACTTTTATTACAGTGAAACTTCTTTCCGCGCGTATGAAAAACCGTCGTACTCATGAGAATTTGCGTCACACAACTGGTTAGAGTATATACGATAGATGTAAGAATCTAGCTAGATAGAAAAGAAAAGAAGAAATATTATTGGTGAATAAAATGTAATAAGTTGGTAATAAAGTTAAAGTAAAAATTATCTATGAATATAATGGACGATTCGGACGATACCTTAACGAATACGATAAATAATTTCATTTTCCCATCACTTCGGAACAAGGCGTCACTTCTTGGACGAGGAGAAACAAGCCTGAACAGTTAACGTCCACCGATGTATCAAAAAACAAACACATGGCTCAGTGAATACAACAGCAGGTGCGAGGTACCCGATTCGATACTCCCGAATACTAGGCCGTTTTTGAATCGCTTAAAATATCGTGTTATTATTGTTATTTAATAGCGTGTCTACATACGATTTTAAAAATTTATTGTTTCCGCGACTTGCGTTTTCGATAATTATTAATTCTCATTAAGTAATTGTTTTGTAAATTAATGGATTTCTTGATTTAATTTCTGGAAGCTGACCGTTCGAAGTACTAGTGATTAAATAGCGATAATATTCCTCTGGATAAGTTTCACTGTCGTTAGTGGTCCAAGACGAGATTCGAAATCCTTTAAATGATGGGCCCTTGTATCCTTTCGTACCTTTTTGCTTAGTAGAACTGTCCGTCTGTCGTTAAGTAGCAGGAGATGCTGCTTACCTGACGGCGTTATCGTGCACCAGCTACGCCGTTTCTCATGAGTCTAACAAACCTAAAAGAATATACTTTACTAACTACTACTATGTATTTGGGCAAATAGGAGAAAAGTTAACGAATCTTTGCCTACCGGCAATCCTAAATAAGACGAAACTTCGTAGTTAGTCCACTATAATTATTATTTTTATATGCTGTTCTGAATAATTTTATTTCTTTTTTTAGGTGAAAAGTTGCCAAGCGAGCAGACGGTTCACCTGATGTGAAGTGAATACCGCCGCCCATGGACATCTGCTACACCCGAGGGTTGCAGATGCGTTGAGAACCTTTTGAAAATCTGGCTCCGGCCACCTCACTCACCAGACGAAACGCAAAAGTATTATACTTCCACTTTACGCCGGTCTTCTGTGAGGTCGTGGTACTTACCCGGACGAGCTTGCCCATTCGTGCAAAAAGCGAGGCTGCTTCGTGGCCCTATCATCGTAGGTTAAACATTGTTATTTACGAACTTCCTTTAATATATTTTTTTAATTAAAACTTTTTTTTAAAAAAATAAGCTGATTAATCAATTTTATTAAGGTATTTCATGATTTTAATATGAAACAATGATAAATTAGTACGAAATGAAAATTCTTGAAAAAATTATGCGTACTTATAGGTATTTTATTCTTTCAAAGTTATATTTATTGATATAAACTTCTAAGGAGAAAGGAATTTTAGATTATTTAAATATAGGTAAGTGCTAAGTAATGAACGTAAATTGAATGCTTTATTGTTCTTCAAAATTCTTATTAGAAATGAAATAAGTACAATACCGCCATGTATTTGAACAAATGCGGCGTCAGCCACAAAAAAAAGTATAAAAAAAGAAATAAACCAAATAAATAAACTACATTAATTCAGACATACCTAGGACTAACGGTAAGTCAGTGTAATAATTTATTTATAGAAACAATTAAGTCAGTATCTAGAAAGTGTAACCTCGAAATGTTTAATAGAGCTTCAAAAATATGTTCTCATACATCTTGTTGAGACAGATTGCCAGTCTGATGAAATTGAACAGTTAATTATAAAAATGTACCTACTGGTAAGGTACGTCATTATTCCTTTTGTGTTATATGTTATTACAGTCTAGAAATATCTTATTATACAAAGTATTTTCTTATTTCCTTTTGGCAAAGCAATTTATCTACATTTTTATTTCATACAAATATTTCAGCAGCTTAAGGAATATTTAGTATGCTTAAATAATTACCTATTCGTGTGATAAGTTGTATATTATTTTTTAAAGTTTTATGTTGTGTGATTATGTGACGGCAACATCAGGAATCATGTAATTGTATCGAAAATTTCATCATATCTTACTGCCGCGATCTTACAACCCCATTTCAGCTCCTACCCCTAGTGATCGTTCAATACGAATATATATACATATCTCTATTACACTCGGGATAAAACGCTTTGCTGTCTCGTTTATAAATGGCGCACGGCAGTCTCGTGAACCGTCTTGGCGGGCTAAGTCGCTCGTTTCGAAAAGCGCGGGAAATAAGTGCAGTGTCTTTTTTTTAAATCGTTGAATTGACGTATCAAAACATACAATTATGTAAGTAAAACTTAGGTTATAAAATATTCCGACATACATTTTTATAACATTATTATCACAAGGTTCACCTTTGACATTTTAAATGCGATAAATATTAAATAATATGTAAAACGAACGTGAGGTTTAAAATAATGTTATGAATTCATTATAATTACTTTTGTATTGAAAAAGAAAAATTTTAGCTAATATAAATATTTTCGATCTGTACCTACTCTAAAATATTAAATGAGAAAATTCACCAAGTATATACAGTTTAAGGTTTTATACTCGTGTATATTTAAAAAAAATATTAAATGGTACCCTATTAATTAATCCAATTCATTTGTTTGCGATGTTTTCTTATCCATTTAAAGTCATATATAGCTGGTTATATAATTATTCATTTGCTATAAGAAAATAAAATGTGTTTTATTAACTTGATTACAATAAAAGTTCCATTTTTTTACACCATTGATTAATTTTCAGTTTTGGATATTAAATGTAATTTTATGAAGATAAGTACGTATTACACTTTTATCTAGTTAAATAAAAAGATATAAGAAAATACTTAGTTATTAGGTATTAAAGTCAGAGTAATTAATAGAAAAGCTTAAAGAACAAAATTACAGCCGTCCTTTACAGCGCTGTTATTTATGTCATACATTTTTAAAATATAATAATAATAAAACATGTAGATAATATCAATTTCATAATCGTTTAACAAACCAGACTTGATACGAAACAATTTAGATCACTCAAGCGGCGTTTTGCAATATTAAAATGCTTATGTCTGCACTAATCTCTCGATATTTCGTCAGACGAGAAACACGTGGGCCCATCGATCGTCCCCACCCCAACCCTGTTGGGGGCAGAAATACCTCTTTCGTTGCGTCAGAATCAGCGTCCTCCTCTTAAAACATCTAGATGCGTACTGCATTGTCAATACATTTATTTTTAATTATATTTTTTTATATTTTTTTTTAATGTGAAAAGTTCCCAAACCAGCAGACGGTTCACCTGATGTTAAGTGCATATACGAAAATCTGTTTGTGCTAGCTGCTAGCAGTATATTTTTTACTACATATGTTTCACTTCTGTTTATGGGAATTGGTTCATTAATCTATTGGCTATTCATTAGTTACGCAAAGATTACTATTGGATTAAAAGAAGATCGTGAATTTCTGCTATTCTCTACATTCAATGAGTGTTCAACTAAGATTTGCGAACAGTCCTAAAAAACCTTCTAT